ATATATCTAGATTGCTTGAAAGCTTTTGTGATAACGTTCTTTCAGATATTAACAACGCAGTAACATTTCTTACAAATGCAATATGTCAAGCAACACAGTGTATGAAACGCAAACATGGCATAAATAGACAAAATTCACAACCTTGGTTTGACAAAGAGTGCACATTTCTAAGACATGAGAAAGACAGACTTCTGGGGTGTTTTAGGCATTTTAACGATGGAGCATCGCTACGAAAGTATGTACACGCCAGAAACAAGTACAATTGTACTTTAAGATCTAAAAAAAGACATTACTACGGATCTGTAAAAGATAAATTACTTACAAATCTGAATAACTCAAAATTGTTCTGGAACACCATGTGCAGGCTTTCTTCATCTAAGAATTCTATTCCCAACATAACAATGGACTGGTGGTATACACATTTCAAAACCATATTTAAACATACGGATACATTTAATGTCGATTTACATTCTATCGATCATGATATTGAAGAAAAGATAGATCAAGACAGCCCTGGTATACTTGACGCTCCTATTACAAGAGATGAGATCTGTGCAGCGATTACAGAACTAAAATCGTCCAAGAGTGCTGGGCCTGATCATATCATAGCAGAATTTTTTAAGTCCTCACAGGATACATGTATTTTAGTTCCCTATTCAGTTGCTATTCAATGTTCTGTTTGATCGAGCGTATTTTCCAGAATCGTGGTGTATGGGTCTTATTGTACCTATACATAAAAAAGGGGACACTAGTGTAGTTAACAATTACAGAGGTATATCAATTACAAGTATCTTCAGCAAGCTGTACATACATATTCTGAATAATAGACTAACATTTTGGTGCTCTTGCTATGAAAAAATCGTTGAATCGCAAGCGGGGTTTCGCAAAGGTTACAGTACTATTGATAACATTTTTATCCTACAGTCCATTATTGAACGCTATCTCTCAAAAAAGAGAGGTATGCATGTTTCATAGACTTTTCCAAAGCCTTCGACTTCGTGAATAGGACAAAACTGTGGAATATTTTAAGGCTAAGAGGAGAAGGCAGCAAAATGCTTAAATCAATCCAAGCCCTCTATGCAAGTGTTAAAGCGTGTGTCAAATTTAATAATAATTTATCAACATGTTTTGATTGTCCATTGGGTCTACGACAAGGGTGTATCCTAAGCCCTCTTCTTTTTTCTATTCTTATCAATGAACTAGCTTATGAAATCGAAGCATGTTGCGTACCAGGAATTCAGCTTCATCCTGAACTTGTACAGTTATTTCTTCTGTTATTTGCTGATGATGTTATGTTTATCTCTGATACAGTGTTTGGTTTACAGAAAAGACTTGATGTCCTAAAGATATTTTGTTCTGGGAATTGTTTGACGGTAAATATGAAAAAAACAAAGGTAATAGTCTTTAAGAAAGGTGGAAGATTGTCGAAGTATGAAAAATGGTTCTATAATGGTGTACAAATAGAATGTGTTTCCTGGTACAAATATCTAGGTATTGTATTCAGCAGGTCATTAGTATGGACCAAACACATAGAAAATGTATGTCTGTAGGCTAAGCAAGTTTTATTTGGTATTTTTAGATCACTGTCAATGTTTAAGCCCTTACCTTTTCACTTGTTCTTTAAGTTTTTCGACACCAAAGTTTGTCCAATTTTATTATACGGTGCAGAAATATGGGGACTGAATGTTGTTAACGAAATAGAAGTTATACATGTAGCAGCTTGTAAACGATTTCTAGGAATTAAATCCTTTGTATCAGCGCATGTTGTGCGAGGCGAATGTGGAAGATATCCATTGTATATTTATACCATCAACAGGTCTATCAAATATTGGTGTAAAATATTGAAAATGTCAAATGAGCCATATGTAAAGAAATGTTATAACATGCTTGTACAAATGGAAAGTAATGGTTGCAGGAGCTGGGCATCTAGGATAAAGCATATATTAGAAGTCTATGGATTTGGATTTGTTTGGCAAGAACAGATGGTTCGAAGTGAAACGCTATTTTTAAATGAATTTCTTGGTAGACTCAAAGTTTCGTATCAACAGGACTGGCATTCTGCACTAATAAAAGGCACAAAAACATTTGGATACACGTTGTTAAAATCTATGTTCGGTGTTGAATCTTATATCTTCATAGTTAGCTATTTTAAACATAGACGTGCGCTTGCTCAGTTTAGATCGGGGTCTCATAAACTACGAATAGAAACTGGCAGGTATATTGGTGAGGCTAGAAATGACAGATTATGTAATATCTGTAAATTGCCATATATAGAAGATGAATATCACTTCTTACTTATTTGTAATAAATATCAAGTATTGCGGCGACTGTGTATACCTTTACACTTTATGAATATCCAACAATCCAAAAATTTAATACGCTTCTGCAATCATCAAATGCAAGCATCTTAAAACATTTATCGGCATATATATATCAAGCTATGTTACTGAGACAGTCTTCATTATAACATATTTTCTCACTCTGTAATTCTCAAAGTGTAACCTGGGCCTATGGCCTATATTACTTTTCTGAAATAAACCACCATATGAACCATTTGTTTAGTAGTATTCCTAGTCCCTCTTAAAAACAGTGAACATTTTTCAAAAGAAGTGTTATCAATTCATTTGGAAGGGTAAAATTGATAGTATCCAAAGAAATATCAGCAGTTACCACCTAAGTGTGATGGTATCAGTGTTCCTGATGTAAACACTGTTATTGCTGCAGAAAAACTGAGATGGATTAGGAGATGAATCTATAGCAATGTCATCTGGACAAAGCTGGTCTCAGAATATATGTCATACCAAAAGACGTTAAAATATGGTACTTGTTGGTCCCTGCCTGGCGCTCGGCATTAATGGGTACAACAAGGACTGGTCGGCTCGGAGTCAGTATAATGTGTCTGAGTGGGGTATTCATGTTTCACTGCGTCATGGTATCTCAGTGAGCTAGCACTATAAAACCAGCTTAAGTCTGGGCTAGTACAAGCAGCCACACATACACATACACACGCATGCACGTCGTCATATGAGCGAAATATTCTCAAGCACGACGTTAAACCCAATTTCACCTCACCTCACCTCACCTCAGAATATATCATAGATTTGAATGTACTATATTTAGCAGATTCCAATTTAACAGTTCACAGTTCACAGTTCACCGTTTGTAGATTCTCAAAAGAACCCGCCAACGGTGGTACATGAGAAAAGTACAATGTAAAATCACCTATGATAATATATATATTATCAAGATGATAGGAATATGAGGTAAATGCATATAGTGAGTGAGATTTTCAGTGAAATATGACAAAATTAAGTTAACATGAGTCCCATACAGCTGCGACTAATCTAAAGATGATGTTGATGAATGTAGGCAAGTTTTTCACAATTTTTACTATAGTCCCCGGAACCATGTTTCATTATATCGAAGAGTACTCTCCTCATGGCTAACATACTTGCACTGCTCTGATAAAGGTGAAAACAGAAGTGATGAAGACATAATGTCAAAATCTATTTGGTATAACCATGCTATTAGAACTGGGAGTGAAACTATTTATCTACAGCAGTGGCATAAAAAGGTGTAACATATTGTAGAGACATGATCGATGATGATGGAAGAAGATATGATTATAAAAACTTTGTAAAAAGATATAATATCAAAACAGACATTTTGACTTCTAAGAGAGTGAACAAATCAGTGTCATCCTTTTCATACAACACCAATCCTTGTATCGAACCTAATTCTAGGCCCATTCAGAATAGAAGTTTTACAAAGTCCAAAACACTCTTGAAATGGGAAGATTATTTTCAAAAAGAGTACACTGATACAGAGTGGAAGAATATTAATCTTATGGCAAACCGATGTACACAAAGTAGTGAATTAAGATGGTTTCAACTGTAAATCATTCATAATATATTGAGTACCAATAACTTGTTATTTAAGATGGGAAACGTTGAATCCCCAGCATGCTCTCTATGTAATGATTCATTTGAAACCATTGTACATGTTTAAATGCCTGTCAATTATGCCACAATCATATGGAGACAACTTTCAGCATGGCTTGCAAAATATACTGAAGGAAACATCGAATTCAATGAAGAGAATGTATTATTTGGATTATATGAATAATAACCCTTTGATTCCAATATTCTTATAACAAAATCTATGCTGTACAGATGTACAATTAAGAAAATCAAACCTAATTTCAAACCTTTACAACAAGAAATATATAGATACACTACTACCAAACAACGACAGAATTTACAGCATTCTGAAACTGTAAACAAGCAAGCTTTCATGCCTTTTGGTCACCTCTACATATGCTTTTCAGCAACCCTGTGTAATTGTAATTTACCGACTCCATTGTTATGCCAAACAAACACTCTCGGGCGCGCAGTGTTTGCTCTTAACCCTGAAAAGCTGCAGGCCCAGAACCATATAACGTTGTGGGTCCTCATCAGATTGTGTAGGCCCTATATTTAATATGGAACTAATACTATTAGTTATTGGGGATGAAAAAGCTGTCGGCCATAAGGACCTGCAGAAAACAAAAGCTGTGGGTCCGAGTGGTTTTCAGTCGGCTTCGGGCCTAAGGTCATGTAGCGCCAGCACATTTCCGAGGTCATAATGTTGCGTCACCTCGGAAATGTGCTGGCACCATACCACTGTCCCCCGCCTTGATATTGCTGGAACATTGCTAAAAGCGGCGTAAAATCATACTCACTCACTCTGAGACTTTGAAATTCATAATGCACTCATTTTACGTACATTGTCGTATTTTAAACCAATTTTACGAGGTGATTGCTGAAAAAAATATCATCTTTTTTTTTATTCCGTGGAATATTTCTCGAAACATTATTTTTTCAGGGTAAAAATCGTTTTCAAGGATAGGACAGTAACTATTTGTATTACCCCCGAAATATAAACCGCTTGTGTGATTGACCGAGTGAGCGAGGGATGGTTGGTCAGGTACAAGACAGTCTGGGTTACTGGGTTAAGTCAAGGGCCCTACCTAGCAGAGTTGATATTCAGAACGCTTTCAGGGCCAGGACGCTAACAACCGTGCGGTGATAAAATGGATCCAGGCGTCTACATTTCCTTGATTTTAGGATTTTATTCAGTGGCCTGTCAGGATGTGTTTGTGACCGTGAATGAAGGAACTTTGCGTGGACGTTTAACCCGTGTTGAAGACAAGGATTTGGAAGTTTATCTGGGTGTCCCATTTGCAGAGCCTCCTGTCGGTAGGTCGCCGTGATCGTGATAGTCATTCACAGCAATGACCCACCAACCAGCACAGGTTTGCCTTATTAAGATAACTGAAAGGCAGTTGGAAGATATAACGCTTGCCATGGACTGTTTCATAAATTAAAATTAAAATCTTTTCAAAAAGGCTTCTTGCAGTCAATTTACACATACTTCCGACAAAATGTATGCAGTCGTTTTAGCCATACGTCCAGAAAAGAGCCTCTTGCAGTCGTTTTAGCCATACGTCCAGCAAAATGGCCTCTTACAGTCATTTTTTACCAAACATAAAACAACGGATCTGTTGAATGCATTTTATCCATACGTCCAGCAAAAAGGCCTATAGCAGTCATTTTATCCATACGACCGATGCAAGGTGATTCTAAACACAAACATATCCATTACGTTTGTGTGTGTCAGCGTGTTTACTCAGCGTGTTTACTTATTCATGTAGGCGAGAGGAGGTTCCAACGGCCCGTCTCTCCGAGTACCTGGGAGGGGCCTCGGGACGCCACATGGTACGGACCAGCATGTCCTCAATGGAACCTCAAGCCACAGTTCAATGTGACGATGGATGAAGACTGCCTTTACTTGAATGTGTACACAGTATGTCTGGTGGATTATTTACATTGGTTTCAATTGCATTTCATTTGTTTGCTTTTAAGAAAGGCCATAGGTCACATCAGGGTAAATAATGGTATGTATGAAATTACTGCATACATGTGTACGTTATTATGAGTGAGTGAGTGAATACGCCGCTTTCAGCAATATTCCCATTCCAGCAATATCACTTTGGGGGGACACCAGAAATGGGCTTCACACATTGTACCAATGTGGGGAGTCTAACACGGAACTTTGGCGTGACGGGCGAACGCTTTAACCACCTGACTACCCCATCGCCCCACATTATTATGATAAATACAGTCACACACCGTTATGTTGGCGGTCAAATATTGTTAAAAATCCCTGATTCGATACAGTGCACATAATGTCTAAATTGCTGCTCCTCAAGCACTGTGCATAGTGTCGTCTACTCTCTGTACCAAGATATCAGAGTCATGTCTGGATGTGCTGCGGGGTGATTCACCTGCAGTTCTTCGTGGGTTAACAAAGTGGTGAAAGTAGGTGACTTGCATCTTGGGGTTCCTCATACTAACTTGAGACATATAGGTGAAGTTATTGCTCGAAGCGCCATTAAGGTTTCACTCACTCACTCATTACTTTGTGTTGTAGAGATCCACATCCGTGCCTACTCTCCCTGTCATGGTATTCATCCATGGTGGAACATTTTTGACCGGATCTGGTTCTTTCTTCGATCCATCCATGTTGGCTGTCAGGGACGTTGTCATGGTGACCATAAACTACAGACTCAACGTCCTAGGTGAACAAATTCACACGGTTACCAGTTCTGAACCCCGTTTGTATCCAGTGTATTATGATTAATATGATAAATTGCAGTGATTAACCGAGAATAATGTCTGCATCTCAAATTGGAGTGAGTGCATGAAAGAATGAGTGAGTGAGTATCTGACGATGAAAGAAACCCTACGAGTGAGTGAGTGAGTGAAAGGATGAGTGAGTGAGTGAAATGATGAGTAAGGGAGTGAAAGGATGAGTGAGTGAGTATCTAACGATGAAAGAAACCCTACGAGTGAGTGAGTAAGTGAAAGGATGGGTGAGTGAGTGAAAGGATGAGTGAGTGAGTATCTAACGATGAAAGATCCTCTATGTGTGTTCCAGGCTTTCTGTCTACTGAAGACGCTGCTGCCCCGGGAAATTTTGGCATGATGGACCAGGTGATGGCCTTGACCTGGATCAGGGACAATATTGCCAAATTCGGTGGTAACCCTGGTGACGTCACAATCATGGGCTACAGCGCCGGATCTGCTAGCGTGTCCCTCCATCTGTTGTCTCCACTGTCCAGGGGTAGATGACGTTACGTTGACCTTCTTTAACTGAGATATTATCTACTCTTATTTATTAACTGCGTCGCGGATTGGCTTCGAAATATCGAAATTTACCTGCATATACATTATTACAAAATTTATTTTGTATTGGTCAAGGTCAATTCGAAATGTAACTCTATACGTTGTGTATTTATAGGATTGTTCCACAAGGTTATTGCTCAGAGCGGAAGTAGCCTAGCTGACTGGGCGGCGGCAAGCGCTCGCGATAATGTGTCTCCAAGAGACGTGGCCTTCACCTTGGCTAGCGAGGTCAACTGTACCGGTTCAAGTTCCGAAACTGTGGTTGCCTGTCTACGAGGGGTCAGCGCAGACGACATCGTTAACGCCGGCAGAAATGTTATGGTTGGTAATGTTGGGTATTTATACGCAAATTATTAATCTAAGATTTCTGCAAAATATTGTAGAACGATGACGTTTTGTATACAATTCTGAAATTGACAAAATGTTTTGTTGATCTAAGGCAATTCATGATTTAATTTTACAGGAAACACAAGCTTGTATTATTTGTAGTTCATGACTCGGATAAACAGTTCCAATAGAAATTGAAATAGTCAGTGATATGCATTTTTAGACCTTCCGCATTTTAGAGGTAGCACAATACATTGTACGTAAATTCGTCACGTGTTTGGCGTCACTACTTTATGGAGAAAGGAGTGTCATCTCAAGATGTCCATCTGATGTGCAATTCTCCTGGCCCGGGTAGCTTCGAGTTTTCGCGTCTGACCGTTTTTTGGTCAATATTAAAATGTCACCCATTCATGTAATAAGGAAACTTATAGAATCTGTGATATTCTGACTATTAGTCAGTCATGGCAAGTTTTGTACCGCATGACGCATGTCATTAACATAGGGTCATATAGAAGCTCAAACACACATGGAAGCATATGAGTACCATTGTGTAATTTTTGTTATCGTCTACGTAGATGATACTTAACTTCTAGGAAGGTGATATCTGGTAGTGTGTGGGTCGCTTATTTTCATTTGGTCTTTTCGCAACTGAAATCAATTCAAGTGTCAGCGTTATAAACAACCAAAAAGTGTTATTGAACTAAACTCTGACATATGCAAATGAAGAGGTACTTCCCTGAATGTGCTGATGGTACCGCAATAAAGGCACATCAAGGATGAAAGTAAAAAAAGTCATACATTATTTATTAAGCCAGAGGTTATGTAAAACTGACCGGGAAGTATTGTCGATTACTCGAGAAAATACCAACTCGATAATTCTATACTAGATGATACCTTCTCCGTAAGTAGATAATAATGTCATATATACATAATTTAAGTATCAACTACGTAGGTGTGAGTATCATCTACGTGGATGTGAGTATCATCTACGTGGATGTGAGTATCATCTACGTGGATGTGGATTGATATCATCTACGTGGATGTGAGTATCATCTACGTAGATGATACAATTACGTGGACACCTACGTAGATGATACTCTTCGTGGACACCTACGTAGTTGATATCATCTTCAAATTATGTATATATGACATTATTATCTACTTAGGGAGAAGGTATCATCTAGTATCGAATTATCTAGTATATGTCATCTACGTAGACGGCAATATCATCTACGAAGATGTGAATAAAAAACTGTCTCTAATACGCCCCCACAGTCACAGACGTTGAATACATTCTAAAATCTCTAAAGATGAGGATTTTATTATTCCTGGTTCCCACTTTCAGCGTCCCCCAAGAAGACTAACCTGGTCCCCGGTTATTGAGACGCTGTACGGCTTTCTCCCAGACTACCCCCGGGCCCTGGTTGACAGGGGTCAGACAGCCAATGTCCCGGTCATGATCGGAGTTAACAAAGATGAAAGTTCCAGATCTGTTGGTGAGCCTGTATGGGTGAAGTGGAAGTTGGAAGCATAACCAACAATGTAACATTCAAAATACCTCGTAATTATTTGGCGACGTGTTTGCATAAAAAATTACAGTTAATTTGTTTGTTTGCTTGATTTATTCCTGACTGAATTATTTGCATTCTCTTAGCATGTCTTATTTTCCCAATTACATGTGGGCGTTCTACTTTCTGCCGTAACTAAACGTATCTGACAGTTTTACATTCATACACATGGAAAATGACCAAAATCTTGAAAATCTTGAAACTTTGCGGGAATGTACTGTCTAAATCTTTCAATAATTGAAATTTTGATATCTGACATAGCTGCACTGCCCGGATCAAACGACGGAGTAAACGCCAGCGTCTTCAGGGACAAGATCTTTGACTTTGCCTCTAAGGAATATCCCGAATACACGTACACCGTATCGATGGCTATGGTGAAAGCGTACTTGAAGTATTGGATGGATCCTTTGGCTATCAGGGCGTCCTATGTCAATGTAAGTGTACTTGAAGTGTATAAACTGGTGGGAATAGTTGGTTGTCAGGGCGTCCTATGTCAATGTAAGTGTACTTGAAGTGTATAAACTGGTGGGAACAATTGGTTGTCAGGGCGTCCTATGTCAATGTAAGTGTACTTGAAGTGTATAAATTGGTGGGAATAGTTGGTTGTCAGGGCGTCCTATGTCAATGTAAGTGTACTTGAAGTGTATAAACTGGTGGGAACAGTTGGTTGCCAGGGCGTCCTATGTCAATGTAAGTGTACTTGAAGTGTATAAACTTGAAGTGTATAAACTGGTAAGTGTGTACTTGAAGTGTAAAATTGGTTGGTTGTCCTATGTCAAGGGAAGTGTATAAATTGTCCTATGTCAGGGCGTCCTATGTCAATGTAAGTGTACTTTGAAGTGTATAAACTGGTGGGAACAGTTGGTTGTTAGGGCGTCCTATGTCAATGTAAATGTACAAACTGGACTTGAAGTGTATAAACTGGTGGGAACAGTTGGTTGTCAGGGCGTCCTATGTCAATGTAAGTGTACTTGAAGTGGATAAACTGGTGGGAACAGTTGGTTGTCAGGGCGTCCTATGTCAATGTTAGTGTACTTGAAGTGGATAAACTGGTGGGAACAGTTGGTTGTCAGGGCGTCCTTATGTCAATGTAAGTGTACTTGAAGTGGATAAACTGGTGGGAACAGTTGGTTGCCAGGGCGTCCAATGTTATGTCGATGTGGGAACATTGGTAGGATAATTCAATATTCAGAGTTGCCAATGTGATAGTATACTTGGTGTCGATACATTGGTGGGATAATTCAATATTCAGGTTGTCCAATGTAATAGTATACTTTGTGTCGACAGCCTGGTAGGATCAGTTGGTTGTCAGATTGTCAGAGGTCGGCGTAAGCGCAAATACTTCATTCTCATTCTGCATATATTGTACTATAAAAGGCACGTAATAACACACAGATTGCAGAACATAAGTGTAAAGTACAGGCGAGGTCGTTTGACTCCCTCCTGAAACTAAACTCAGAAGTTAGCTTCAGAAACAGTTCAGACAGATCATAACAGAGCTAATATTCATACTCATGCCTTTTTTCTAGTTTCTGACCGACTATTATTTTACGGCGCCTGCCATTTTGGAGAGCGAGCTTCTGACAAGTCGACCAGGCAGAAGGTCACTATACTTCTACCGGCTGGCTCACAGACCGGCCAACAACTCTGACCCGCAGTGGCAAGGTGAGTTCCCAGTAGTCCTGGTTCGCTGGAACTTGTGGAACTTGTTCATAGGGCGGCCTTGTAGAACTTACGCAGATGGCCAGTATAGACAAACAAACCTGACCAAAATATACCAATCGCTGTATATCAACAGGGTATTCATAAACAAAGGAGGACATGTTTTGTATCCCTTATTAATGTACAATCGGCCCTGCATTCTGTATACTGAGCATCAAGTTCCTCACCCTATTCACGTACAATGTGAGATATATTCTTGATCAATATAGAACACACTTTATGGATAACAACTTCTTTTTATTCGTGAGTGCGACGTATTCTTGATCAGCCTTACAATATGTATAGTGAGCATCAAGTTCCTCACCCTATTCATATACAATGTGAGATATATTCTTGATCAGCCTTACAATATGTATAGTGAGCATCAAGTTCCTCACCCTATTCATGTACAATGTGAGATATATTCTTGATCAGCCTTACAATATGTATAGTGAGCATCAAGTTCCTCACCCTATTCATGTACAATGTGAGATATATTCTTGATCAGCCTTACTATATGTATAGTGAGCATCAAGTTCCTCACCCTATTCATGTACAATGTGAGATATATTCTTGATCAGCCTTGTATAATCTATATGTATAGTGAGCATCAAGTTCCCACACCCTATTCATGTACAATGTGAGATATATTCTTGATCAGCCTTACAATATGTATAGTGAGCATCAAGTTCCTCACCCTATTCATGTACAATGTGAGATATATTCTTGATCAGCCTTACACAATGTATAGTGAGCATCAAGTTCCTCACCCTATTCATGTACAATGTGAGATATATTCTTGATCAGCCTTACAATATGTTTAGTGGGCATCAAGTTCCTCACCCTATTCATGTACAATGTGAGATATATTCTTGATCAGCCTTACAATATGTATAGTGAGCATCAAGTTCCTCACCCTATTCATGTACAATGTGAGATATATTCTTGATCAGCCTTACAATATGTTTAGTGGGCATCAAGTTCCTCACCCTATTCATATACAATGTGAGATATATTTCTTGATCAGCTCTTACTATATGTATAGCATCAAGAGCATCAAGTTCCTCACCCTATTCATATACAATGTGAGATATATTCTTGATCAGCCTTACATATATATATATATAGTGAGCATCAAGTTCCTCACCCTATTCATGTACAATGTGAGATATATTCTTGATCAGCCTTACAATATGTATAGTGGGCATCAAGTTCCTCACCCTATTCATATATAATGTATGTGAGATATATTCTTGATCAGCCTTACAATATATCTATATTGAGCATCAAGTTCCTCACCCTATTCATATACAATGTGAGATATATTCTTGATCAGCCTTACAATATGTTTAGTGGGCATCAAGTTCCTCACCCTATTCATATACAATGTGAGATATATTCTTGATCAGCCTTACTATATGTATAGTGAGCATCAAGTTCCCCACCCTATTCATATACAATGTGAGATATATTCTTGATCAGCCTTACAATATGTTTAGTGGGCATCAAGTTCCTCACCCTATTCATGTACAATGTGAGATATATTCTTGATCAGCCTTACAATATGTATATATTGAGCATCAAGTTCCTCACCCTATTCATATACAATGTGAGATATATTCTTGATCAGCCTTACTATATGTATAGTGAGCATAAGTTCCTCACCCTATTCATATACAATGTAGATATATTCTTGATCAGCCTGTATTATGTATATAGTGAGCATCAAGTTCCTCACCCTATTCATATACAATGTGAGATATATTCTTGATCAGCCTTACTAATATGTATAGTGAGCATCAAGTTCCCCACCCTATTCATGTACAATGTGAGATATATTCTTGATCAGCCTTACTATATCTATATAGTGAGCATCAAGTTCCCCACCCTATTCATGTACAATGTGAGATATATTCTTGATCAGCCTTACTATATGTATAGTGAGCATCAAGTTCCTCACCCTATTCATATACAATGTGAGATATATTCTTGATCAGCCTTACAATATGTTTAGTGAGCATCAAGTTCCCCACCCTATTCATATACAATGTGAGATATATTCTTAATCAACCTTGTATTATCTATATTGAGCATCAAGTTTCTCACCCTACTCATGTACAATGTGAGATATATTCTTGATCAGCCTTGTATTATCTATATCTATATTGTATTATCTACATAAGTTCCCGACCCTTTTCATATAATATGTGGGGAAGATTTGCGATCGACTCTGTATTATCTATACTGAGCATCAGGTTCCTGGACCTATTCATCTACAAAGTTAGATCGTTGTGTCAATGTCGCTGAAAGTGTATTTAAATATTATTTATTCTGGAACACACGGTGTCGTCACTGATTTTCAGAGTTGCCTCGACATGGTCGCCATCACCATTTCACTGTTTACACTGTTGCGGCAGATAGTCGAAACTGGTAATTCTCCAGCGTTAACGTGTTATATTTACGTCAATTTGTTTTCACCTAAGCGAGATCTAATGTCCACCCCACATATAGGTACAAGCCACAATATTGGACTTCTCCTGTACACGTTCGGCGTGCCTATTATGGGGCCAGGGGGTTACAGCTGGAGATGGACTTGGAAATGGACTGAAGCAGACAAGGAGTTCAGTCGAGTCGTCATGAACATGACCCTCAATTTTATCCTATACGGGTACGTTCTGTCCTTCATTGTTTCCTGAACATATTCATTTCCATGGTTACAACACACTGGCATTTCCTAAATGGAAGACGCTGACTTCATGAGGCGTGTTCCCTTTATAGAAGACGGTGTGAGTTACCGATCTCTGTTTCCTCATTGAACACGGTCTTAGTGTTCTATGTTCCCTCATAGAACACGGTGTAAGTGTTCTATGTTCCCTCATAGAACACGGTCTAAGTGTTCTATGTTCCCTCATAGAACACCGGGTAAGTGTTCTATGTTCCCTCAGAGAAGACAGTGTGAATTAGTGATCTCTATGTTCCCCACAGCGAAACCGAATCATCAAGTATTTCAAATTGGGTCATGGATGTGTTTAAAGGGTGTGGTTACGAACTAGACATTCACTTAAAGATGTTGGTTGATTCTGATACATTAGTGCCTTTTTCGACATCACCGTCATAGTGGCAGTCGCCACGGACGGCGGAAGTATAGTTCCTCTATATCCCTGAGAAGATTGTGTGAGTTTCAAGCTAGTGACACTCCAAGAATGTTATTCTATTCCATTCAACTTTTAGCAGAAATAAACTCTTGCCAGAGCTCTACTCACGCACTTTACAAACTATTGCCTTTGAGAATCGGGGGCAGAATATAGCTTAACACTGTCCCATGCTTGTCATACCAGGAAACTGTTGACATTCTTGGGACATCATTTTGTGACAAAGGTGAATGTTTGTACTTTGAGGACGTAGATCGGTGCAACCTCCCAAACCTCCTGGGCAAAAGGGGGCGGTGGGGTAGTCTAGTGGTTAAAGCGTTCGCTCGTCACGCCGAAGGCCCGGGTTCGATTCCCCACATGGGTACAACTTGTGAAGCCCATTGCTGGTGTTCCCCGCCGTGATATTTTGCTGGAATATTGCTAAAAGCGGCGTAAAACCATACTCAGTCAGTCAGTCAGTCCGGGCAAAAGAACATTTATATTGGAAAAAAGGTATTACACACAATATCACAAACTCTATCAAACCGTTACGAGCATTGAAAACAGTTGCCCAAACACTGCAGAGTAAGGTGCTACTGTAATGCCTTTATAAAATACATCACGATCAAATAACAATTATTGTTTGTTTCATTGTTTTAAGAATGATCAAACACAAGTGTGTACTTTCTTTCGCCCGGCAGCGCGTTTGATATGTCTTGAAATTTCAGACGCCGGCGTAAAAGAAACATTCACTTAACCGTTTCAGGAACCCCACACCTACTGAAGTTGGCGGGGTCATATGGGAGCCATTCACAGCCTTTGACAGAAGATATCTTTACCTTGACTCCAGTTCTGTAATGAAGTCTGACCTTCGACCGAATGACATGATGTTTTGGAACAATGATATTCCTAATATTATAAATGAGCAGGTTATCTTCCCCAATTCAGCCTCGATGGACAGTCAAATCCCATTGATCGTACTTGTAGTGGCACTCATTTCGTTGTCTCTTCAGTAAGTTACGTTGTGTGGTCTGGCAGGCCAAGGAAGTCCATGCGTCATTTGGACATGGCGATCCAGTCCCAGGCCTGTTTCATTAAATCGTTTTCAAACAGAATATTGGATAATTCCTGCATTCTAGTTAGCTAAAAGAGCCAGGTGTTATTGCGTTCATTTCGCAACGAATGTAAAAACATTAAGCCACGTCCATCGAAGCGGACTACTTCCATCTCTAGGCAGTGTCGGCGAATGCTACTTGTGTATGGAAATGCTACTTATAGTCGGGGGAATTCCCATTTTACTCACCAGAATCATCCTACGTTTATCATCATAAAGTACTTATTTATATGTAGATGGCTATCAGTGAACGAGTGTTGGACCCAAGACGTATTAGTTTCAGCAATACAAGCCCCTGGGATCAGCCCCACATGGGATTTTCGATCACGCCTCAATGAAATGAATAACAGTAAAACGATAAAGGAATTTATACACCTATATCGCGTAAAAGTGACGAAAGGTATGTTAGCGATTGACCTTGTCCTTTTTCGTAACCTGCAAGAGGACTCCTTCCCGGATTAATGAATGCTATGTGCGAGTACTCAAATCGATAATTGTGTTTAGGAAAATGGTTTATACAAATCAACCTCGAAAATGTATTTATCTCATGTGTTATCTTTTATTCGTTACACTCTGTGTGCTTTAGATAACGGTGTTAGAACCTACAACCTCGCATCAACTGTAATAAACAGCTGTTTCATCCAATTCATTGTGTTATCTTACATATTCGTTACACTCTAGTGTGTGGACTTTAGATCATATGACCAAACGCCACTTTTCTTTGCAAACGCGTCGTGCAGTTTTAGTCGCCACGACTGTCCTGCCGCTGTAAGTAAGGGTCTGGTAACTCTATTATATCAAAGCGTTACGTGTACCAGGGTCGAGTCGATGCATTGTGAATCATTTAATTCAATTAAATCTTTTTAAATTCAAATGTTTATTGTATGCAAAAAATTCATAGGCCCATATACATTGAAGTGTACATGGTACAGTATAGGAACAATTAAACAAAATAGGTTCATGAGACTCATTTTTGGTTTATAATGCTATTTATAATGCTATGTCGGGTAGCCGTATCTGAACTTTAGTTCATCACGAATGTCTTGACCGGAAACATCCTCTAAATAACAGCGTCGTATCGGATGATCTATAAGGTTGTTACAGCAGGAAGTATACATCTGTAAACATTCCCAGAAGGATGCATCCCTTTAACCACCGTGTATCCTAGACTGGCAGTGGAACAACTCGGGTGTAGATTAACATAACACCACTTGAGTCTGCATCTTATTTATTGCGATTTCATTTCTCTACTTTGAAGTAAATAGAAACACTGAGAATAAGTAACAATGATAACAATAACCCAGATTCAGTTATCATATGCCTTGTGGAGACAGTGACATTTCACTCCCATAACCGTGTTGTCCTTTGAGGTGGTTGGTTTGTTGTTTAACGCCGCACTAAGCAATATTCTAGCTATATGGTAAATACTCGAGTCTGGACCAGACAATCCAGTTATCAACAACATGAGCATCGATCTACGCAATTGGGATACGATGTCATGTGTCAACCAAGTCAACGAGCCTGACCACCCGATCCCGCTAGTCGGCAGTTTTGGGCGTTTGCTTAATACGAGTCTGGTGTCACCTTCAATGAGCCTGGTGTCACCTTCAATGAGTCTGGTGTCACCTAAAATGAGTCTGGTGTCGCCTTCAATGAGTCTGGTGACACCTTCAATGAGTCTGGTGTCACCTTCAATGAGTCTGGTGTCGCCTTCAATGAGTCTGGTGTCACCTTCAATGAGTCTGGTGTCACCTTCAATGAGTCTGGTGTCACCTTCAATGAGTCTGGTGTCACCTTCAATGAGTCTGGTGTCACCTTCAATGAGTCTGGTGTCACCTTCAATGAGTCTGGTGTTTTATGACGACAAAGCCCCTCAGTGAACCTGTACAGTCCTCGGAGTTTTTGTATAAAGAAAATAGAAACCCATAAAGTTCTCGTGATGACTCGAAAGGTTGTGTAATAAGTGGCTAACACAGACACGTTTTGAAACGAAATCAAAACATATTTTTCAGAAACCACGTTCCTATTATAAAAATAAGTCCCATGGTTGTAGCTCTTTATGCAACAGAGTATAGTCTGTGTTGGTCAAAACCACTTATTATCCAGTACTGATTCTCTATTTCATTTTCAACTTTCTGTGCACAGTTTTGCCATATTGCTGGTGTTATTTTACTTATGGCTTTGTGTATTCGTTTTGAACGTCCAAAAGTTTGAACGTGGTATTGTTGTGACCACATCAAATTTTATGATACCCCAGATAAGTTCTATTGGATTGAGATCGCAATGGTAGTTCACCCACTTTGCCCGATTCATTTCATTTTGGTAATCTCTGTTGTCTTTGGATTTCGCCTTGAACACGAGTGAACAATCAGTCAGAAACCCCACACTTTTACAACCTGCGTGTAACACAATGAGTCGCTCGCCCTTTCCCAATGGCAATTTCCTGTTACACGGTTCTATAGATGACCTATCTACCCATTGTGTGCTTGCAGTGTGGCTGGCGTTCACCCATGTTTCATCCAAAAACACTGGTTTGAATCCTTCTTGACGTTTTTGTCTGAGAGTGCGTAAGTATGTGTTGCGTAATCGCACGATGTCAGTTCTTCCATATAGCATCCGCCTGTTTTCCCCACTTACCTTTTTGTAGACTTGTGCAAATGCTTGTTCATTCTAGACTTGACTATCGTAACAATTTACTCATACAAATTAGTAAATGTCAGCTGTACAAACTCCAGAAAGTCCAGAACACTGCTGCCAGGATAGTGACGAGAACACCAAAATCATCGCACATAACGCCAGCTCTTAAGGATTTGCATTGGCTTCCCATTAAAGCGAGAATCAACTTTAGAATTCTGTGTATGGTGTACAAATGTCAAAATGATATGGCACCACCATATCTTTCTAATATGCCAGTAGACTACATCCCTGTAAAGACTCTTCGATCTCAAAATCTGAATCTTCTGAACACACCAAAGTATAATCTTACCAGCTATGGACGGAAGTCTTTTAGTCACGCAGCTCCTCGACTGAGGAACAAACTTCCTGTGGACATCAAACTTTCATCATCATTAACTGTATTCAAATCAAAACTTAAGATGAACTATTTTCAGGCTATTATTCATAGACTTTATTTCACCCTATCATTCATGAACTTTAATTCATAGACATTTTCTCCTGCTATTATTCATAGGTTTTATTTCATACTATTATTTTACTACCTGTGCCTTAGTCTCATTTTATGTGCTTTGAGCATGCACCTTGTGGATGGATACAGCGCTATATAAATACTCATTATTATTATTATTATTATTATTAAACAGATAGTAGTAAGTCTATTTACTAACTTCATGAAAAATCTTTCTTCTAGCATTGGGGCGGTGGGGTAGCCAAGTGGTTAAAGCGTTCGCACCGGAGACCCTGGTTCGGTTCCCCACATTGGTACAATGTGCGAAGCCCATTTCTGGTGTCCCCCTACGTGACATTCCTTGAATATTGCTAAAAGCGGCGTAAAACTAAACTCACTCTTTCCAGCACTGAAACCTTTAAATCTGCAACTAAACAATGACAAGATGCTCCAAGCTTGCTGTGACTTGTGTTGCTGTACGCGAGCGCGCCATACGTGAACATGCCTACAGGCAAGATTACCGACCCTGACTTACATAGGTAGCAAAAGTAATTGGTTTATCTACACTCGTGCCTTATCTGGCCAGTCTCATTTCATGTTTTTTCATTTCTGAAAACGATGTTGGGCTGTGTAGTGTTGGCGTGTTTGGCAACGCTGTGTGTCGGGACAGACGTCATTTTGAAGACAAGGCAGGGACAGCTACGAGGGACGAGGACTGAGTACTTCAGTGACGAATATGTAGACGTGTACAATGGAATACCGTACGCCCTTCCACCTGTAGGTCAGTATAGACTATATCACCATAGCGCGAGTACCGGGAAAATATGACCTACTGTAAACACGTGATCACACATTGTACATATATGAATATACTGAATTTATTTCGATAACTATACAAAATTTCGCCTTCCACAGTGTCCCATCTTAGTACTCCACAACGTCCTCTCATAGTCTTCAACATTTTCCTATCTTAGCCTTCCACATTGTCTTGTCTTAGTCTTCCACAGTGCCCCATCCTAGTTTTCCACAATGTTCCCAGAAGGTGTCCCAGTGTCCCATCTTACCCTTTCACAGTGCCCCCTCTTAGCCTTCCACAGTGTCCCATCTTAGTCTTCTAAGTGTCCCATTCTAGTCTTCCACGATGTCTCATTTTAGTCTTCCACAATGTCCCCACAAGGTGTTCTACAGTGTGCCATCTTACTCTTCATCAGTGTCCCATTTTACTCTTCGTCAGTATCCCATCTTAGTCTTCCACGGTGTCTTGTCACAGTCTTCCACAGTGTCCCATCTTAGTCTTCACCAGTGTCCCATTTAACTCTTCCACACGCCACAGTGTTCCACCCTTGTCTTCCACAATGTCCCCTCACAGTCTTCTGCGGTGTCCCATCTTAGTCTTCCACTATGTCCCCTCATAGTGTTCCACAGTGTTCCATCTTAGTCTTCACCAGTGTCCCATTTTACTCTTCCACAGTGTCCCATCTAAGTCTACCACAGCGTCTCATCATAGTCTTCCACAATGTCCCATCTTAGCCTTCCACAGTGTCCCATCTTAGCCTTCAACAGTGTCCAATCTTAGCCTTCCACAGTGTCCCATCTTAGCCTTCCACAGTGTCCCATCTTAGTCTTCCACAGTGTCCCCACAAGGTGTTCCACAATGTCCCATCTTAGTCTTCCACAGTGTCCCATCTTAGTCTTCCACAGTGTCCCCACAAACTGTTCCACATTGTCCCATCTTAGTCTTCCACAGTGTCCCCACAAGGTGTTCCACAGTGTCTCATCCTAGTCTTCCACGGTGTCTCATCCTAGTCTTCCACGGTGTCTCATCCTAGTCTTCACCAGTGTCCCATTTAGCTCTTCCACACGCCACAGTGTTCCACCCTTGTCTTCCACAATGTCCCCTCACAGTCTTCTGCGGTGTCCCATCTTAGTCTTCCACTATGTCCCTCATAGTGTTCCACAGTGTTCCATCTTAGTCTTCACCAGTGTCCCATCTAAGTCTTCCACAGTGTCCTATCTTAGTCTTCCACAATGTCCCATCTTAGCCTTCCACAGTGTCCCATCTTAGCCTTCCACAGGTGTCCCATCTTAGCTTCCACAGTGTCCCATCTTAGCCTTCCACAGTGTCCCATCTTAGCCTTCCACAGTGTCCCATCTTAGCCTTCCACAGTGTCCCATCTTAGTCTTCCACAGTGTCCCCACAAGGTGTTCCACAGTGTCCCATCTTAGTCTACCACAGCGTCTCATCATAGTCTTCCACAATGTCCCATCTTAGCCTTCCACAGTGACCCATCTTAGCCTTCCACAGTGTCCCATCTTAGCCTTCAACAGTGTCCAATCTTAGCCTTCCACAGTGCCCCATCTTAGCCTTCCACAGTGTCCCATCTTAGCCTTCCACAGTGTACCATCTTAGCCTTCAACAGTGTCCAATCTTAGCCTTCCACAGTGTCCCATCTTAGCCTTCCACAGTGTCCCCACAAGGTGTTCCACAATGTCCCATCTTAGTCTTCCACGGTGTCCCATCTTAGTCTTCCACAGTGTCCCATCTTAGCCTTCCACAGTGTCCCATCTTAGTCTTCCACAGTGTCCCCACAAGGTGTTCCACAATGTCCCATCTTAGTCTTCCACAGTGTCCCATCTTAGTCTTCCACAGTGTCCCCACAAACTGTTCCACATTGTCCCATCTTAGTCTTCCACAGTGTCCCCACAAGGTGTTCCACAGTGTCCCATCTAAGTCTTCCGCAGTGTCTCATCCTAGTCTTCCACGGTGTCTCATCCTAGTCTTCCACGGTGTCTCATCCTAGTCTTCACCAGTGTCCCATTTAACTCTTCCACACGCCACAGTGTTCCACCCTTGTCTTCCACAATGTCCCCTCACAGTCTTCTGCGGTGTCCCATCTTAGTCTTCCACTATGTCCCCTCATAGTGTTCCACAGTGTTCCATCTTAGTCTTCACCAGTGTCCCATCTAAGTCTACCACAGCGTCTCATCATAGTCTTCCACAATGTCCCATCTTAGCCTTCCACAGTGACCCATCTTAGCCTTCCACAGTGTCCCATCTTAGCCTTCAACAGTGTCCAATCTTAGCCTTCCACAGTGTCCCATCTTAGCCTTCCACAGTGTCCCATCTTAGCCTTCCACAGTGTCCAATCTTAGTCTTCCACAGTGTCCCCACAAGGTGTTCCACAGTGTCCCATCTTAGTCTACCACAGCGTCTCATCATAGTCTTCCACAATGTCCCATCTTAGCCTTCCACAGTGACCCATCTTAGCCTTCCACAGTGTCCCATCTTAGCCTTCAACAGTGTCTCATCCTAGTCTTCAACGGTGTCTCATCCTAGTCTTCCACGGTGTCTCATCCTAGTCTTCACCAGTGTCCCATTTAACTCTTCCACACGCCACAGTGTTCCACCCTTGTCTTCCACAATGTCCCCTCACAGTCTTCTGCGGTGTCCCATCTTAGTCTTCCACTATGTCCCCTCATAGTGTTCCACAGTGTTCCATCTTAGTCTTCACCAGTGTCCCATCTAAGTCTACCACAGTGTCCCATCTTAGTCTTCCACAGTGTCCCCACAAGGTGTTCCACAGTGTCCCATCTAAGTCTTCCGCGGTGTCTCATCCTAGTCTTCCGCGGTGTCTCATCCTAGTCTTCCACGGTGTCTCATCCTAGTCTTCCACGGTGTCCTATCTTAGTCTTCTACAGTGTCCTATCTTAGTCTTCTACAGTGTCCTATCTTAGTCTTCTACAGTGTCCTATCTTAGTCTTCTACAGTGTCCTATCTTAGTCTTCTACAGTGTCCTATCTTAGTCTTCCACAGTGTCCTATCTTAGTCTTCCACAGTGTCCTATCTTAGTCTTCCACAGTGTCCCATTTTTCTCTTCCACAATGTCCCATCCTAGTCTTCCACTGTGTCTTATTATAGTCTCCCACAATGTCCCGTCACAGTCTTCCCAAATGTCTAATCTTAGTCTTCCACATACTATTCTCATATAAACTCATGGGCAAAAGAAAGTATAGGTCATTTTGAAGATCAGTAAAACAGAAACAACATCAGATTTGGATTATGTAATAGATGTAATTTGTAGCAAATTCATTTGCACTTTGCTGTGTGTACAAATCATTACCTGGTTGAAAGAACTGAAAGGTGACATTGACATTCAAACAGTCAGGGGGTAAATATCAAAGTTACAATGATATTCCTTTGACGAATTGCGCACACGAAGACAGAAACGTTTGTTCCAGAACGATCACAACGTCAGTAGCGTGTGTGTCCGCCAGCAGCCTCGATGCACGTCGTCGCATCGATGACGTCAAGCGTCGGATGACTTCATTTGGCAGTTGCTCCCATTTGTCCCTCAGTGCCACTTCCAACTCTTGTCTTGTCTGTGGAGGGTGATGACGACCACGAATTTGTCTTCCCAAATGATCCCACAAATGCTCGATCGGATTCATATCTGGTGATCGAGAAGGCCAGGGTAGAACATTAACGTTATTCTGATTAAGAAAGTTTATTGTCGCTATTGCTGTATGGTGAGTTGCATTGTCTCGCTGAAACAATACACCATTTGGTTGATTTTCAAGAAGGTAAGACAACAGGCTGCAAGACTTGATTTCGATACTCATTAGAGATTCCCCTGAATAACGACCAATAATGCCACCACACCCCATACCATTACACCACCTCCACCATGGGCATGGACTTCTTGAATGTATGCTGCTGCAAAACGTTCACGCCGTCGCCAGTAAACTCTCTGTTGGCCGTCATTTTTTGTGCAGACAAAACCGACTTTCATCGGTGAAGAGGACCCTACGCTAATCACGCACTTGCCAGCGGTATACTCGTCTTGCCCATTGCAGTCTGTCAGGTCGATGTTGTTGAGTTAGTCTCATTCCACGGAATGGTCGATAGCAACGTATTCCACCTGCTCTCAAACGTCTAAGGACAATCCTTCGACTGATGCGACGCCCCTACGCTCTTTCGGCCGTTGACGTTGCCGTAACAAATCGATTTCGGAGGTGTATCAGGCGTATATGGTGATCTTCAGGTGCGCTGGTTACACGTGGACGTCCACTTCCTCGGCCTGTCCTGTGTTCGACCTGTCTGTCTGAATCGTTGGAGGAGTCTTGCTATCGTCAGTGGCGTACAACCAAATCTTCTTGCAATTCTGACGTTCGTCGCACCCATACCGGACATCCCTATCGCCCTCTCTCTCTGTTCTGGCGTCAGTCGTGGCATATTTTTCATGTGTTTTCAGCAGCTGTAACATGAAGGGCCCGATGCATCGCATTTATATCGAAACTCTGCACGTGCATTACGTGCTAGGAGCATGGAACATGCTTTCCACAGTTGTGACGTCATCACTCTCACCGTTCGAACGTGTTGCGTTTTGGCGGTGTATTTCCCTTCCCAGTTGTGGGGCCAACATTGCCAGCATGCCTAATTCTCATAACCATGTCAATGGCAGTGAAAAAATATTTTTCCAGTCCTATACTTCCTTTGGCCCATGAGTTTATTTGCTATAGCCACTATATTCTATACAACAGGTATATTATGTAATCAATTTAAAACCATGACATTTTCGTCACTGTGCTTCAGGTGCCAGGAGGTTCAGGCCCCCCTCCCCAGCCGTGGCGTGGTCAGGTGTAAGGGACGCCCGATCTCCTCGACACATCTGCCCCCAAGTGCACGGCAAGCCTCACTCCACCCAGGACGAGGACTGTCTGTTCCTTAATGTTTTCACCTGGAAGGTGATTTAATGGTGTTTTCATTTCTATTGTTGTTTTATCACAGAGCTGCTTTCCCTTGATACATTCAGCAGGCACGTTTTGATATGACACGGTATTGTCATTACAGACTATTGACAGGGGCATGGGTGTTTAAAATACCATAATTCGCTTGAGTTGCGCCCCTTACTCGCACCAGGATGCGCCAATGAAGGCCAGAATCATGCATCATCCTGATGAGGATCCTTCAGTTGTCATGTACGTGCCAAACGCCTACGACACTTCATGAAATGATATACCAATGTACTCACACATTTTCTCCAGTGTATATCAAATGTTTTCACCTTTTTCAATTTACAGGGCCCTGTCTACCTAATCGGCTGCTGGACAACACAACGTAGTGATCACTAGTCTTCACTATCGAATGAAAATAAATAAGACTTAATACACATGAACTTTTAGAAAGTTGCCAAATGAAGCACATGTTATGTTTGGGATTACACTTTCTGAGTGTGCCTCACTATGTGAAGCATGATCTAGACAACTGGTTGTCAGACTTACATTTCTGTTAGAAACAGCGGTGAGTGATTGGGTTAGATCGTTGACTCTGTGTGCCTTACTCCGACAGTATGGGTCGAATCCGGATGGGACTCCACCCCCAATCTGTACATTACTGAGAAAGTGTAATCTCAAATATAACATATGCTGCATCAGGTTTGTGTGTGAAGTTCAATAGCAATCGCAAAAATTATCATCAGGGGGGCCCTTTGTTAGTATTTTCGTTCTTAACAAGCTTTCGAGCTGAACGACTACGACTACGTAGATGAAACAGCTCTTTGTTAAATTAATATCTCGGCAGCAGTAATAAGGACGTTACGCATGCGCAGCTATAACCAGTTATGGTAAAGATGCATAGGGCCTACTTCGTGTTTTGAATGCGCCTGTCAGCTAATGGCTAAACAACAGAATAACCAGTATAAGCATTAACCCAGCCATGTGCTAAACCAGTCACACTTGAAGCACTCATAAACTTCGAACATAAATGTCTCCATATATCACGAAAATTACTAGTCTGAAAACAATCAAATTAAAGTTTACTTTTGATGTAAATTTCATATTACCTTAATCACGTGTTAATTTCAGTCCAAGGCCAACACAACTCCACCGCTTCCAGTGATGGTGTTTATCCACGGGGGAGCGTTCAATGAAGGGGGTGGATCTCTATTCCGATGCAATGCATTGGCACTTCATTCCGTGGTCGTTGTCACTATCAACTACAGACTGGGTGCATTAGGTGAGGACGCGACAGTCAGACCGTTAACAGGTTACATTCCAGCTGTGGACACTAGATCCCAGGTTTATTTACATACCACCGAAATGGGAACAGTGCTCGTGGTGGTAAACAACCAAACAAACAACCATTTCCGCGTATGAAGCAGCCACTGGGTGGTCAGTGTATCGTTGACAATGAATGTCACAAATGGTTTGTGCATGTCATCGCATCCTAGCTGCGTAGATCATGATGCCACATCTCCCGGTAATTATGGGATGCTGGACCAAGTGATGGCGTTGAAGTGGGTGAGAGACAATGTCGCAGATTTTGGCGGGGATCCTAAGCAGGTGACGGTGTTCGGAGAAAGCGCGGGAGCTGTGAGCACGTCGTTGCATCTCATATCCCCTCTCTCCAAAGGTAGGAACGAATTATCTACTATTTGGACCTACTATTTGTTGTGAAGGTAAAAGGAGCTGTACTGACAAGTGAATCAAGAAATGTCTCTCTATATGACAATACCATTGCAACTTTCAAGTAACATTGCTTAGATTCTCTCGCCATACATTCTCCCTCCTTTGCATAATTATGGCAATGGGAATTTAAGGCAACAGATTTTTGCAAGGACGATTTTGTATAACCTCTCCACCCGGTTCCCAGCTAAAATGTTCACGTTGTCACAACGTTACGCTTTCGTTGTTACAACCTTATTCTGTGGACTTCCATTTACGTTGTGATACGTCATTTTTTACGTCGCCACAAGGTACAAATATTTGATGCTGGCGTTTTTCCATTGTCTTAACGTTCTATTTAACGTTAATAGTTGAATAGTTTTTTCAGTAGTGAACAGTACATAAGAAACAAAGCAGAAATTCACTTCAATGTTTATTCGTAAATTTGCATGTTGTTTTGGTCGTGTCTTTTCTGAAGCTGTAGCTGAATAGCGAAGAAAGAATCTCAAAGCGAAACGTTTTACAGAAAACTCTTGTGACAAGTTATAAGAAACGTTGTTATAACATTGTGACATAACGTTATAAAATGACGTAATACTAACATTGTGACATAACGTTATAAAATGACGTAATACTAACGTTGTGAAATAACGTTATAAAATGACGTAATACTATCGTTGTGACATAACGTTATAAAATGACGTAATACTAGCATTTGTGACGACGTTGTGTCATGACGTTATCAATCTATACAACCTTCCCACAACGTTGTGTGTTACCTACACACCCATATATTTAAGTAGTTACTTCGCAGTCTAATTCAGATTCGATATACTATTATATGCAAATTATTGTTTATTCTGAAGACTTTGAATCACTATCATTGACGACAACAGGACATGGGATATATTGCACACACACCCTCCTCCCTTTTCTACCATACCCCCAAACCATGACACCGTTGTTAACTGATTCAGGATTACTGGACGCTGCCATCACTGAGAGCGGAGTGTCCTTGTCCGAGTGGGGATTTAGGACCAGGCAGGACAGCCCATCTCCCCTAGACCAAGCACGGGCCTTGGGGAAAAGGGTTGGGTGCTCAGAAACAAACACGACCCTTTTGGTTGAGTGTCTCCGCAAAGTTGACGCTAAAAGGCTGACAGTCAATGATTTAACGGTGAGAATATCTCGAGAACTGGATATAGTTGTATGCCGCATTTATCATGATTTTATCCACATCCCCATGTGGGACACAAAACATTTGCTTCTCACGTTATACTCATTTTGGGAATCGAACCCGGAATTGTGGCCACCTTTTTAGACACAGCTACGACAACTTCCATCTAGACGTCTCGTAGATCAACAGGCATAAAGATCCATCATAAATCGTTGATATATGTTTGTAGTTAAACTGAAGGTCAAAAGAACGCATGCATTTTAAAGTTGCCTGGTTGACAAAGTCGCCGAAAAACTGCAAACCTAAGGTATAAAACACAGCCATGATACCCGTAGTGTATACTTGACCATCGAAGAACCATTCCTGTTTGTTTCATATTGTCCACCGTCGTACTTGGCCAGCACTTTAACTGTGATGAAATATAGTTTAGGTGTCTGTAATAGTGCAGTCTCGGTACACACTGATAGTCAGTGCAGATTACGTCACTCCAAGCCCCCGACAGCGCCATTCCAGCATTGTCACTGGTAAATGATCACATTCGCCCAGACAAACTGGTGAAAAGCATGGTAAACGATGGCACGCAGTCAGACAGACCACAGAGGCTGGCCACCCATTGTGCTGGCTTTAACCACAAATACCGGTTACCTGGGTATCTTAATACCCACAGGACAGACATGAACAATTCAGGGCAAAACTCAATGTATACGCCCATGTTTGAAGGTGGCCGATGGAGAAGATGACAACAATTGGTTATGCGACAGTGATGTAGTTCACATCGGCATCGTGTTTGTTATTCACGCTCAGCTTGCAGTCTTTCGGCGACTTTTGTTCAGCCGGTAACGTAGACTAACGCTTAGTCCCTGAATATATATAATTTTGATAGTAACAAATACACCCATTTAAATTGAAAAGGAGCCCCAGTGAGTTGGGAGATTCAGAACCTGGGAATATAAAGACTTGCTTCATTAAGGGCTTTAGCATTGCAGGGAGGGCTAGGCATAAGGGAAAATACTGTGGTTCAGAGACTGTGAGACAGACTACCGGTAGCGTTGTAATAACACTTGTAGTTTTGGGATCCACGCCAATTTCCCAGCGTTTACTTTATTAGATGGTCTCTGTTCCAGTTTACAAACTCTATGTGTTGTGTACATAACATAGTTCCATTGAATTGTGTGAAACATTTTTCCCCAGTAGAAAGCTGAGAATCGCCTCGTGTGGTCCCCTGTGGTGGAGACGGTGTACGGGTTTCTTCCAGACACACCCCAGACGCTCATCGACAGGGGGGACGCAGCTAACGTACCCGTTCTGAGAGGGGTGAACAAGGACGAACTTGCCGCAAAGATTGGTAGGCAAAAGGAAAACTGGATAGCGGATAGCATTGAATAAACTAACGAGCAAAAACAACGGTCGCTTTACACGAAACAGACACGTCAATGGAACAGCACCACGCTAGCCCTGACCGAGGATTGTTAATATAGGTCACCGAAATCGTCGATTTTCCTTTTGTTTCTACCTTAGATTAATTGTCGGAAGGTATTTAATTTGGCATCTTAGAAAGTAAATATAATCCTCGTACTTTAATTATAATAGGTCAGGGCAAAAGTGTGCTTTATTACACTATACTTTGTGGTAGAGGGAACTGTATTTCTTAATTAAAGTGTTCGGGCGACTGTTTCAGCCTTGTAACGTCTTGAAAACGTGCACGTTAAGGGTCAGTTGAGTGTGAGACGTCGTCTGTTTGTTTTTTCTAAGATTTAAAAATTAATTTTACCCATCTCCATGATTCACTCATTCTCTCCGACGTTGATTCCAGCCTGGTTCCATGGAATATCTACCGGCATGTCGCTGAATTCCGCAACTGCGTTTATACGACAGAATATACAGCGTGCCTTCACGTCCAACCAGCAAGCCCTGCAAGCAGCAATCGAGAAGGTGTATCTCAGTGACGTCCAACCGTCGGAACACGATGTAATACGTTCACGCATCATCCAGGTATCCCTGCGTCAGTGCACACAATGCCCCCTCAAGTGTATTGTAAACATATATCAATCAGTGCCCAGTTACCTGTATTACAGGCAATGTAACCGTGCATCAATGCACACAGTTGCCCATTTACCTGTATTCCAGGCTATGCAACCATGCATCAATGCACACAGTGCCCATCTACCTGTATTCCAGGCAATGTAACCATGCATCAATGCACACAGTACCATGCATCAGTGGACACAGTGCTCATTTACCTGCATTCCAGGCAATACAACCATGCATCAATGCAGGGCATGCATCAATGTACAGGTATGCATCAATGCACACAGTGCCCATTTACCTGTATTCCAGGCAATGCATGCAATCAATGCACACAGTACCATGCATCAATGCACACAGTGCCCATTTACCTGTATTCCAGTAATGTAACCATGCACCAATGCACACAGTGCCCCATTTACATTGCCATGCATCAATGCACACAGTGCCCATTTACCTGTATTCCAGGCAATGTAACCATGCATCAATGCACACAGTGCCCCATTTACCTGTATTCCAGGCAATGTAACCATGCATCAATGCACACAGTGCCCCATTTACCTGTATTCCAGGTAATGTAACCATGCATCAATGCACACAGTGCCCATTTACATGCATTCCAGGCAATACAACCATTAATCAATGCATACAGTACCATGCATCAATGCACACAGTGCCCATTTACATGTATTCCAGGCAATGTAACCATGAATCAATGCACACGGTACCATTTACCTGTACCATGCATCATCATGCACACAGTGCCCATTTACATGCATTCCAGGCAATGTAACCATGAATCAATGCATACAGTGCCCCATTTACCTGCATTCAGGCCCATGTAACCATGCATCAATGCACACAGTGCCCCATTTACCTGTATTCCATTCAGTAACCATGCCATGCATCAATGTATTCACACAGTGCCCCCCATTTACCTGTATTCCAGGTAATGTAACCATGCATCAATGCAGTGCCCATTTACCTGCATTCCAGTTACCATGCCATCAATGCACACAGTGCCCATTTACATGTATTACACATCAATGCCCCCCATTTACATGTATGCATCAATGGTAATGTAACCATGCATCAATGCACACAGTGCCCATTTACCTGTATTCCAGGCAATGTAACCATGAATCAATGCATACAGTACCATGCATCAATGCACACAGTGCCCCATTTACCTGTATTCCAGGCAATGTAACCATGCATCAATGCACACAGTGCCCCATTTACCTGTATTCCAGGCAATGCATGCATCAATGCACACAGTGCCCATTTACCTGTATTCCAGGTAATGTAACCATGCATCATGCATCAATGCATTTACGGTAATGTAACATGCATCAATGCACACAGTGCCCCATTTACCTGTATTCCAGGTAATGTAACCATGCATCAATGCATACAGTGCCCATCAATGCACACAGTGCCCATTTACCTGTATTCCAGGCAATGTAACCATGCATCAATGCACACAGTGCCCCATTTACCTGTATTCCAGGCAATGTAACCATGCATCAATGCACACAGTGCCCCATTTACCTGTATTCCAGGCAATGTAACCATGCATCAATGCACACAGTGCCCCATTTACCTGTATTCCAGGTAATGCCACACAGTGCCCCATTTACCTGTATTCCAGGCAATGTAACCATGCATCAATGCATCAATGCATCAATGCACACAGTGCCCCATTTACCTGTATTCCAGGCAATGTAACCATGCATCAATGCACACAGTGCCCATTTACCTGTATTCCAGGGAATGTAACCATGCATCAATGCACACAGTGCCCATTTACCTGTGTATTCCATGCATCAATGTATTCCAGAATGTGCATGCATCAATGCACACAGTGCCCATTTACCTGTATTCCAGGTAATGTATGCATCAATGCCATGCATCAATGCACGCATCAATGTGTGCCCATTTACCTGTATTCCAGGCAATGTAACCATGCATCAATGCACACAGTGCCCATTTACTTGTATTCCAGGCAATGTAACCATGCATCAATGCACACAGTGCCCCATTTACCTTGCCCAATTTACCTGTATTCCAGGCAATGTAACCATGCATCAATGCACACAGTGCCCCATTTACCTGTATTCCAGGCAATGTAACCATGCATCAATGCACACAGTGCCCATTTACCTGTATTCCAGGCAATGTAACCATGCATCAATGCACACAGTGCCCCATTTACCTGTATTCCAGTTACAATGTAATGCCATGCATCAATGCACACAGTGCCCCAGAACATTTACCATGTATTCCAGGCCCAATGTAACCATGCATCAATGCACATCAATGCACGCACAGTGCCCATTTACCTGTATTCCAGGTAATGTAACCATGCATCAATGCACACAGTGCCCCATTTACCTGTATTCCAGGTAATGTAACCATGCATCAATGCACACAGTGCCCCATTTACCTGTATTCCAGGCAATGTAACCATGCATCAATGCACACAATGTAACCATTTACACACGGTGCCCCATTCCAGGTATTCCATGTAACCATGCATCAATGCACACTGCCCATTTACCATCAATATTCCAGGCCCATTAACCATGCATCAATGCACACAGTGCCCCATTTACCTGTATTCCAGGCAATGTAACCATGCATCAATGCACACAGTGCCCATTTACCTGTATTCCAGGCAATGTAACCATGCATCAATGCACACAGTGCCCATTTACCTGTATTCCAGGTAATGTAACCATGCATCAATGCACACAGTGCCCCATTTACTTGTATTCCAGGGAATGTAATCATGCATCAATGCACACAACTTGCCCATTTACTTGTATTCCAGGGAATGTAACCATGCATCAATGCACGCAGTGCCCATTTACTTGTATTCCAGGCAATGTAATCATGCATCAATGCACGCAGTGCCCATTTACTTGTATTCCAGGCAATGTAACCATGCATCAATGCACGCAGTGCCCATTTACTTGTATTCCAGGGAATGTAACCATGCATCAATGCACGCAGTGCCCATTTACTTGTATTCCAGGCTAATGAATGTAATCATGCATCAGTGCCATGCATCAATGCACGCAGTGCCCATTTACTTGTATTCCAGGCTCAATACATGCATCAATGCACAGTGCAACTTCAAATTTTAGCAAAATTCCAGCAATAGACTTCAGGCATTTTACCCATGTGAGCAATCGAACCTGGGCTTTCGGCTTTGACGAGCGATCGCTTTAACCACTCGGCTATCCCACCGTCACCGACAGTCATGTAGTATTAAACGTAGGAACAACAGTTATCCTAGGACGATTCAACTTTGGTTAAGTGACATCAAATGCGTGAAAAAATATAACAGGAACAAACACATACACACTCACGTGCGCAAATGCACACATGCACATAAACGGTGTTTCAGCAAAATATCCTGTTCAGTGTTGTATACTCCGAGATTCTGGACGGAATTTAGGTTTTTATCATTGATATGTCTTGTATCTCCAGATGCTGTCTGACCGAGCCTTCTATGTGCCGACGCTGGTGGAGACGGAGAAACAGGCAGGGCGAGGCGGGAGCCCAGTCTACTTGTACGAGTTTGACTACCGCTCTCCTCGAGACAACAAGCCAGTTTGGGAAGGTGGGACATTGCTGAGCTGATTTTCATTGTTTATCTCGTATTCATCTTATCCATAATTGATAATTTGATTTAGATTTATATAATCACCTATAAAAATTCATTGATATACACACGGAAAAAAGTGTCGCAACACCCCATATTGTTTTTTTAGTATCAATATGTTACCATTAACTATAGCAAAGGAACTTATCAAAACCTCAATCTAACTTACTATCTGAATACACTGGAATCATTAAATGGCAAATACAAATAAAACAAAAAAACTTTAGTTTATTCAGAGAACCAAACATGGCAAAAGATTGACTCATGATGTAGAAGGGTCATTTTCAAGACAACTTCACAAAAATTTCACCACAACGTGCGTAAAAGCAGCACGGCAAAATATACCCAAGTTTGAACACATATGTAACTTGAAAAGAAATCCTAAAACATCTTTGACTCTTTGAAAAGACAGAGATACGTTTTGATATTTCATGCTTGTAAAAGTAATGCTATACGAACAAGTCTACTGGTATTTTTGCCTTTGAATTTGATACCTTCTCCTTTACACCTAGTGCAACTTGAAGCATTCATTTGATTGGATTACAGCTATGTCATCTTTGCTCAAAATACATACAGTCACATTTGCCTCCGACTTCATCCCGGTACAATTTACATGTCGCAGTGTACACGTCTCAGTTAAACCGTGAAGGCCGTGACACAACCTGCCTCTATCATCCGTCCACACAACTTTCACTGGGCGTAAAAGTCATACTGCCGACGAACAGCATGTTCCTTAAAAATTAGTGATATCACAAGGTATTAGCGAAAAGGATAATTTAATGTATGCCATGTTGTTTCTGACTGCTTGTAGTCGGGAAGAGAAGGGTGGGTATTCACAGTGTTCTATAGTTTGAAGAGATATTTACAAAAAAACGGGTCCACATGCATTTCATAATTTGGAATGTGAACGACATCAAAACATAACACTTTTGTCTTCATTCCATCTTTTCTTCAATGAGTGTGCATGATTGTGTGTGCTTGTGTCCGAGGGAACGGGGCTTTAACAGTTGTTGAGTTCTAACCATAGGTGGTCCGATTAATGATTTAGTGTAAATATACTTTCTGTGTTCTTTAAATGCATTTCCACTTAGGTACTGCATAAACAAAATATGACATTAACATTACAAATTTAAAGATTTTAACCTACAGAATAATTCTCACTAATGGGTTTTGTGGTTAATGTTGAACAACTTAGAGAAACAAACTCCGTATGATGGTTAACAGTTGGCACCCACCTTACCCTATTCACGACCTGTGACACCTCTTCATACCTGTCACGTGCATAGCTGACCTACATTGACGAACGTTGACCTTTATGACCCAACACTGCCGCTGTTACAGGTCATTGGCTCCCTCCCTCTGCAAGCAGTCTGCGTTCTGCTGTTTATTTTGTTGACAGTTACATAGACAGATTCTTTAATACAAATGCATAAAATCGGTGATTTACAATGTGATTAGGTTGTCTGACAAAACATCCACTTGCACAGTTTGAGATCGATTGGGTCATTGGATGAAGAGATATTTACAAAAAAACGGGTCCACATGCATTTCATGCCAAACTATAGTGGACATGAATATGACTGCAGGTGTCCCTCACGCGGCTGAGCTATCCTACGTGTTCGGAGCCCCGCTTCTAGGGGGAAATTCCTGGACCGAGAATGATAAGGCTATTACCAGTAGGGTGATGGGCTACTGGACGAACTTTGCAAAGCACGGGTATGTATACATTAGTGGGCTCACTCCCACTAGTTAGACGTCCCATTTGTTAGATATCCCAATTGTCAGGCACTGGACTAGAGATTAATTAGGGCAACACCCATATATAAATGGGAATGTCCCAATTCGATATTTCAACCAGTTAGTTGAACCTAAGGAAAACTGTTATTGTGTATAAATATCTTGGAGTTATTTCTGGTAGAAAACGTTCGGTGATGTACCGCATTTTTGAGTTAAGAAATTAGGCTATTTCAGCCACTGGGCATTAGTGAGTTAAGAAATTAGGTTATTTCAGCCACTGGGCAGCCATTATTGCTAAATATTGGCGTAGAAAACTACTGTCGTGACAAGATAAGCCAATAAAATAATGAAGTTCTCTCTTTGAGATTATTACTTTAATTGTTATTAATGCAGAGTGAATGCCTATAGATCGAGTTTGTAATTATTGAGAAGAATGCGCTTACCTGTTAGCTCGTCTTACTTAAGACCCTAGTTTGTTTCCTATATTTGTACAGTGTGTAACCATCTTATCGTGGTGAAACCAGCCCCACCCATTCACCCAACCTCATTTGGTTGGAACACTTCAACTGCTATGTTTGTATTTAATAGTAGTACCATAAGCATCATAGGAAATTCCATGTTGCATATTGCAGGGACCCATCTTATGGTCACGTGACGTGGAAACCTTTCACCACGAAGGAGAAGGGGTACCTGTCTATCGGTAACTCTTCAGTCATGAAGTATGACCCGAGGTCACAGGAAGTGAAACTGTGGACGGAAGTTATCCCCAATCTGTCGCAATCCCAGACAGTCATCATTGGATGAAGGGATATGCTGATGTAGAAGTATCAACGAATAAACGTCAAAGATGCTGTGGAGGATTCCTTTATAATTAAATCTTTTTTTCATTAGTTAGAGCCTTGTTCAGGTGAGGTGAAATTGGGTTTAACGTCGTGCTTGAGAATATTTCGCTCATATGACGACGTGAATGCGCGCGTGTGTGTATGTGCGGCTGTTTGTACTAGCTCAGACTTAAGCTGGTTTTATAGTGCTAGCCCACTGAGATACCATGCCGCAGTGAAGCATGAATACCCCACTCAGACACATTATACTTACTCCGAGCCGACCAGTCCTTGTTGTATCCCATTAATGCTGAGCGCCAGGCAGGGACCAACAAGTACCATATCTTAACGTCTTTTGGTATGACGCGGTTGGGGATCGAACCCGCGACCTTCCGCTCTCCGGGCGGACGCTCTAACCACTACACCACGGAGGCGGTCTAAAGCCTTGATCAGGCACAAACAGTCATGTCAAGACTATCAGCTGTCTAGACTGAGGTCCCACTAACAAGGAAAAGTCATGACCGTCATTTCGAGAGGACATTCTCCCGGTAGAGTCACTTAACGACACACACAAAAATAGGCCCGGGCACTCCTTCGGGAGCAATTATGACGGCAAGGCTAATATGGTGAAATCTTTTACGATGTTGGTACGCTCACTATGGTGTAAGGAACCAGTTTTTAAATAACCAAATACCCATCACACGTGTTCTTATGTACCGCTGCCCTTGTCCGCCATGCTGGAATACTCCCTATAGGTTACATATCCTATCTTTCGTCCAATGAATGACGTCCGTTCAATAATCATATTTCCGAAAAATGTTTTAGGTGCACCCGTTGATTTTTATGACTGAAACTGGATGTCGTGTGAGATATGTTACCTGTGTTACGTTTGACGCCGAATGGATCGCTATTTCGGAAATAGGGTTGAGTGAGTTTAGTTTTTACGTCGATTTTAGCAATATTCCAGTAATATCACGGCGAGGGACACCAGAAATGAGCTTCACGCATTGTATCCATGTGAGGAATCGAACCCGGGTCTTCGGTGTGACGAGCGAACGCGGAGAGTCAGTTGTACACATGTCTGGATCCAGACAAGTGCTGATGCAGTGGAGGGGCATCACTCTCATAAAGCGCATGTTTTGCATTTAAATACTAAGACATTTTATGGTTATCTCATAAACTAAAAGTGGGGTGGTGGGGTAGCCTAGTGGTTAAATCGTTCGTTCGTCACGACAAACACCCGTTTTCGATTCCCCACATGGGCACAATGTGTGAAGCCACAGCAGCGATAAACTGATTGCAGCAGGAAAACATTCCACAATTACCTACAAGGCGACAACGCCACATTTTGACGTTTGCCAACGATATGTAATAGTTCTTGTGTATTTGGAATAATATTTTTCCTACCAAAGGGAGACATTGAGACAACGTGGCAATATCCCACTAGGATTCCATATTTTCACGTGGCCGAATAATTTTTTTATTATTTATTTTTTGATATTTTCATGAAACAAAAGTCTTCAATCATAATGGTCGTTACACAATGACATATACAAATACATATGCATAATCAGAAATCCAACCTACCAGGATGTAACACAATTAGACCTCCGAAATACTGAGGTGTATACCGTGTTGTATATAGCGCCACCTCCGACATATGTTTTATATAGCGTAACATGCAGCATACAGTGTTGTATATAGCGTCATATGAGACACAGCATATTATACATGGGGTCACATCCGACATGTTGTATATAGCGCAACATCCGAAATATGTCGTACATAGCACCATATCCGACATACCATATTGTATACAGGGCCACATCTGATGTATCCTGCTGTATATTGCGTCACATCCACCATATCGTATTGCATATTGCGCCACATCCGACATATCATGTTGTATGTAGCACCATATCCATCATACAATGTTGTATATAGCGTCATATCCGACATATCATAAAGTATATAGCATTACATCCAACATGTCATGTTTCATATAACATCATATGCGACATATCAGATTGTTTATAACGCCACATCTGGCATATCATGCTGTATCTTGGGTCACATCCAACATATATTGTATACTGTGCCACATCTGACATATCATCTTGTATATGGCCTCACATCCAACATATCCTATTGTATATTGCATCATATCTGACATATCATCTTGTATATTGCGCCACAACCAACATATCATGTTGTATGTTGCATACACATCCGACATATCATGTTGTATATAGCGCCACAATCGGCGTATCATGTTGTATATTGCATACACATCCGACATATGTTGTATGTAGCGTCACATCTAACATATTATGTTGTATACTGCGAAATCATCAGATATATCACGTTGTATATAGCGCCACACCTGACATACCATGTTGTATCTTGTATGACATCCAATGTATCGTATTGTATATTGCACCACATCCGACTTATCATGTGGTTTATATTGCGTCGTATATCCGACCTATAATATATACTAGCCACATAAAGAAACTGTGCATTGTCAAAATATTATCCCAGTTGAAAAATACGATATCAATGTCAAAGGTACATATAAACTTTAATGGAGGGATCATGAGGAAGGAAGGCTTGTGGGATGTCACGCCAGATTCTCTCAAGTTCTGTTGTAAGGTCAAGGACGTTATCTGGCGGATGAGGAAGACGGCGTAGACGTTGATCCATCTCGTCCCAAACATGCTCTATCGGGGAGAGATCCGGTGAATTTGCAGGCCATGGCAGTAAGTCAACGTTGTGATGTTGCAAGAAATCCATAGCAACCCTTGCCGTATGAGGGCGGGCATTGTCCTGTTGGAATGTTAACCCAGGGCCATGACGTTGCAGAAAAGGAATTGCCACAGGTCGAAGAATCTAATCCCTGTAGCCCACACCAGTTAAGTTGCCCTGAACAAACACCAAAAGAGTTCTTTGGCGTGCTGTTATTCCACCCCAAATCATCCCGGAACCACCACCAAAGCGATTCCTCTCCAAGACACAGGCCTGTTCATAACGTTCTCCCACGCGTCTATAGGCATGTTGACGTCCATCACTTTGGGAAATGTTAAACCTGCACTCATCTGTAAAAACAACATTTCTCCACTAAAACAAGGGTCTGCGGACATGATTTCGGCACCACATTCGGCGAGCTTGTCGATGACGTTGTGTCAGGATAGGCCGTATGGCGGGACGTCGTGGTCTGATCCCGTGATGACGTAAACGTTGTCGAACTGTGTTGGGGTGGATACGGCGAAGTCCTGTGATGGTTCGGGCAGTCATCACTGCAGTCTGAAACTTGTGGCGAAGATGGGTCATGGCCTCATGACGTTGTACAGACGTGAGCCTTTGCATGCTATGCGTTTCAATAGCCGTTTAATTTTTTGAACGATCGCAAGGGCAGGGCTTGAGCTTTCCAAAGTGACAGTATTGTGTGGCATTCATTTGCTCTGTTTCTCTTTCCCGGAATGCACGTGCAACAACGTATTGCACGTCTCAAGGACGAACCCAATCACGTCACGGAACGTGGCACGTGCATGCATGTTGGAGACATGTCACTAATCTCTGAGTTTAAATCCTTATTTGTCTACACAGGTTTGATAAATTTAGATTTTAAATTTTTGTATGCACAGTTTCTTTATGTGCCTAGTATATGTTCCCAATGTTACATGAGTGCACCTATAAATACGTTAACCAATTAATCAATATGTAACTTAAACAAAGATAAGTTTTCGAAAGGGGAAACCGATCAAGATGTTACAAACGTGGTTCCTGCATACACAGGTCAGGTTTGAATACTGGGAATAATGGATGCCATTTATTTGCAAATTTCTTAATTTTATTCTTTCTTTTGGCAATGAAGCTTTCAACGGAAAAGATATCTTTTAAGGTCTTTATAAAGTTATCACATTTTGGAATGTTGTTTTTCAAAATAGACATAAATATGTCTTTTAGCTGAAATGATTATATGATTAAGTAATGGGTTTTCACTTAAGGAACCAAAAAACACCAAATATTTTGTGAAAGTATCTTTTTGTATCAAATTAGTGTTAATCCAAATTTGTAGATCATTCCAAAACTTCTTAATTTCACTACATTCCCAGTAAACATGAAACAAGTTTTCATCATCTTTACAAAAGCTGCATGAGGCACTTTGGATAAGGTTCATTTTCAAAAGTTCCTTTTTGGTATAGATAATACCATGAAAAATTTAAATTGGAAATCTAAGAGTTTTACATTATTAATGTCTTGTCTGTAAGACTTAAAAATCATTGGCCAATCAAAATCAGTATCATCAAACACTTTCTCCTATTTATGACACATATGAGGGTTAGTATTGTTAAATAATAATATATCATAAAATAATCTTGAGCCATGTAATGATTTCATTAAATTCTTTTGATACGAATTTAGATTCATGTCATAGTTATGTATATACTTGTGATGTGTTATTGTATTTTTCCATGATTCAGGTAAAATATTTAGAATATATCTATGATCTAATTCTGTGCCTGTTATTGCATATTTACTTTTCAAAGATTCAAAAGACATCAAACCTTCTTCATTACACGTGTCTTTGATGGTTAATAGTCCTTTATTTGCCCATTGTCTGATATAGTGATTTGGGTTTTAAAATTATGATTAAACCATAGTGACTGTGCTAAACTGTCATCAATGTTGCTTTCATCTATGGTAATGTTTGTACAATACATATTTCATGCTTTTAAAACATCTTTCCAATATGGATTATGCATATCAGCAATATTATAGAAATAAGCACCAAATTTACTGATATCATGTAAAGGAAAATTGCATGGATTACATATTGATGATTTTTTAAAATAAAGTCTCAAGGTAGATAGTTTCAAGGCATTGATAAAACTTTTTATGTCGATCATTCTTAATCCCCCATGTATATAATCTTTTTTCAAAGTACTTCTCTTGATTTTGTCATTTTTGTCATTCCAAATAAATTTGCAAAATATTTTTTCAAGGGAAGTAACAAAATCTTGGGGTGGG